TCTCGGCAGTTAAAGATTCTGACATGGAATATTCTTCTGGATGAAATCTGTCTGGTGCTTTTCTCTGTCTGGTTGGACCAAGGCTTCTCACTTGTTGCACAAAAGTATCTTCGTGGGTTGTTCACACCGAAGGTAAATTCTCTGGGGACTCTGTGGTAGTGATTGGAATGGTAGGACTGAGTGGAGACTTATGGCTCATCTCCGACGTCATCGGGTTCTACATTGCTTTTGTAGAAGAATGTGCTGTTGGTAACTTCGTCAAATGTATGAAACTTGTTCTCATGAAAAACGATGTCTCTGCATCTTGCAAAACGTTTAGCATCCACTTCATACACTTTGTAGCCTTTACTCTCCGATGGATATCCGACAAATACTACTTTGTGGCTCTTAGGGTCGAGCTTCTTTCGTAAGGGATCTGGGGTGCATGTGGACGAATCAGACACTTCCGAAAAATTTCAAATTTGAGACATTTGGTTTCTTCCTAAACCAACGTTCAAATGGCGTTTTGTCCTTTAGTGCATTTGTAGGACTCCGGTTGTGTAGATATACAGCAGTGTTTATGGCTTCTGCCCAAAGCTTCAATGGCATCTTTGCATGAATGAGCATGGATCTTGCAGATTCAATTTGTGTGCGATTGAACCTCTCTGAAACGCCGTTTTTCTCTCAGTGGAGTGTACGGGTTGGTGATCATGAACTGATGTGCAATCGCCTTGTCAGCCCAAAACCTGTTAAAGCGCTGGGATGTATACTCTCTACCATTGTCGGTTCTAACGGCTCGAACTCGCAAATCAGTGTTATTTTCCATCATTGCCACATATTCCACAAACTTTGATAACACTTCAGACTTGCTCTTGATGAAATACGCTATGACATATCTGGTGTATTCATCAGTAAATGTAACGACATATTTGCTTCCACCAACAGAATCAACATTCATTGGGCCACAGAGGTCACTGTGTACGAGTTGGAGGGGCTGATGTGTTTCCTTTTCACTTTCCTTGGGGAAAGGAATTCTGTGCATTTTCCCTTGTGCACATGCTTCACATTCTCTGTCCACTTCACCACTTGAACAGCTCATGCCTTCAACAAGTTTTCCTTTTATCAAGCGATCAGTATAGCAGTAATTCAAATGACCAAACCGACAATGCCATTAGTGCAGCGATAGTGATGGCGTACTGGCGATTTGAGCCTCTCCATCTGTGTTTACCATGTAGAGTTTACTGTCCACCAAGTGTCCAATGGTGACTCTTCTTTGATTCTTGGATATGATACACTTTCCTTCATCGAATAAAACTTCTGCTCCCATTAATTTGCGTCATAGTAGGAACAGACAACAAGTTCTTTAATAAATTGGGCACATACAGTACTTCATTTAAAGTTAATCTAACTGCATTTGATTCATGACAGCATGAAACGTTCGTGGCTTTTCCTTCTCTAAGGGCTTCAATTGCTTTGTTGTCGCCAAGGTAGATCTTTGAGGGCTGTTCATACTCCGCGTAGAAATTAAATCAGGGATTAAATCTTTCTCAAAGATCATATGCTTTGTAGCACCACTGTCAATGTACCAACGAATATCTCTATTCTGACGAGTCGTGCTGGAATTCAAGGCTATACTGTCATCTTGCTGCTTGCAATCATGTTCTGCAATGCTCCAGTGACCTTATCTTCGACTGAGTGGGCAGTTCTTAACAAAATGACCGATTTGTTGACATTTATAGCATTTCTCTTGTCCCAAATCGGTCACATTGCTTGAAGCTTTCTGTATTTCTAAAATTTCGACCATCGCGTCGGAAGTTTCTCCTTCTGGGAGATGCAAAATTGCGTTTCTCAGAAAGCAATGCTTCATTTCGACGAGTGCTATTTTTGTCTACTTTTTCTTCTCGTTTCTTAGTTATATTCTTCGATTAATAAATCTTTGACGTTGTCCAAATTCAATTCATCCATTTTGGTAGCGTTTAGGCCGCTGATAAAGTTATCATACGACTCTGGAAGGCTTCCAAGAATTACGGCTGCAAACCTTTGCAGAGTGATTTCTTCCTTTGATTCCCGCAACTGCTCAGCCAACGAAGTCATGTATGTCAGGTGCTCCATGAGATCAGTTCCTTCTTTCATTGTAGTGTCATAGAATTAACCTGCGATTCAGTCGAACAATTTGAGCAATCGAGACACATTCAAACTGTTTCTGTAAAGTTTCCCACGCTTCACGAGTTTCAGTCGTCGAGGTAATATGAACTTGCAAACTCTTGTCAACACTGAGGGCGATTAAAGAAAAAGCTTTGTCCGAACGAAGACGGTACGCATTTCGCACTATGGCTTCAGTACTAGCTCCAGGAGCAGTTTCTGTTTCTTTCCACAAATCCCCATAAACCGCGTTCCACCAACACAAGCCTAGGCCATCCAAATTTAATGTTTCGTTCCCCATCGCCCTCCCTCTCGTGAGGGTGGGTTGGTCGGTCGGGCAAAAAAAAATTAGGAACTTACACTTTAAGAGGTCTGGGTGCCAGAGAAGGCCGGGCTGCTAAGCACGAAAGCTTGGTTACAAAGTTAACCAGAAAACGTGGTTTCTTCTTTCATTATTCTTTATCTACAATGGCCAGAACAATAACCCATCATGAGATTGAAACTGACAAGCAAGACTGTTAGAAAGTTACTGTTTAATGAAAAAAGCTGTCCTGACGAAAAATTCTTTTCCAAGAAACATTCAGTATGTGTTCCAGTTACTTTTGCATAATAAATCTCACATTTAGTCTTGAAGATACAATCAGATGGTAAAAGATGTATATTAAAACGACTGTTTAATGTCTAAAAAGGCTTTAAAAACGTTGCAGGAATTTTTTTTTTCTTTACCAAAACAACGGGTCGGTCGGGCGATGGGAAACGAAGCATTAAATTGGGATGGACTTAATATAGTATTTCCACGACTGATAATTCTTTCCATCCAAGCGCTCGATTTTAATTAGTGATTTCGGCCATCTTGAACAAACGAGCAAAGTCAACACGTCTTAAAGAACAAGCCCAACGTGATATTTTTATATAGCACCGTTCCTCAAGGTTCCTGTTATCCCGAGTTATTTTCTGCGTCCTTCTGGGCGTTATCCGGCGCTCAACCAAGTGTTCTGGGCCATAACCTGTTAAAAAATTCATCTCAGTTTATTCCGATCCCAAAGGAGGTTACAACAGCGGCGGACTAAAAAAAAACGAATTACGAAACTGAGAGGTTAATAGTTAGATGACGCAATAGGAGAGCAGGTGTAATTCCCTAGAGAGTGTCACATGATCTTATCCAACGAGGCACATTACATCATGATTATTTCTCCAACAATACAGTGTATCTAGACGGGATGACTGCGAAGTGAGCTGCTGGCATTTTCTTTTTCAAGTAGCAGCGACAACAACGAAATTTAAATTCCCTACCTTTCGTGTGCCTCGCTCAAAGGCCTGTCCCAGTTGTGCCCGAAAAATTCCGCGTGGAACGTTGCCTCGGCCTCTGGAATTCCAAGAAGTTGCTAGAAAGTTGCCATTATCCAAAAATTCCGCGTGGAACGTTGCCCCGGCCTCTGGAATTCTAAGAAGTTGCTAGAAAGTTGCCATTATCCAAATAGTTACGAACCAAACCAACCTGAATTTATTATATCTTTATATAAATGTTAGTTTAAGGGTTTATTTTTCGTTCTGGTCTCCTGTTGTTGATGCCTACTTGTTCTTTCATCATCTGTTTCGGAGGATGATCTAATTATGTAACCGCTTCCGTTAGAGCTAAATGTTGCCTCTTCCGGAAGAAGCTGCGAAATATTTTATGGTTTGATTAACGCCTCCGTGACGAGTTCATTTTGAGACAGAAAATTAGAGTTTGGGTTTTTGTCGAGGGTCTAGGGTCGAGGGTAAAATGTCGAGGGTCGAAGGTAAAATGTCGAGGGTCCGAGAAAAGTGTCGAGGGTCCATAAAAAACTAAAAATCGTAAATTTAAAAAAAATTAAATGTCGTGAAACGTCAGAGGAAACTCAGAAATTACATATGGATAAATTCCAGACATGTTTTGACTTATTGTTTTTGTATACTTTCACGCTTCATTTACACAGCTTCCACAAATGCACCCGCAACCGCAAATAAATAGATGCCGGCTGATCGAGGTCAAGCTTAACTTTGTGGAAAGCGTGACTAAGCAATTCGTCCATCGAAATAACGTTTTCTCTTAAGCGCCTAAATCTCGCAGTTTCTGGGTTTCCATCCACCGTTAAGTCATAAGCAAAAAAAAAACTCGAACTGAGGAACAGCGAATAGAAAATTAGCGCACGACAGGGACATATCTTTTCGATGTTATGTCATGTTTGAGAAACTTTTATTCCAGCTCATACACTTAGTATTGTAAACGTTAACTCACAAACGAAAATTATTTTTTCAGAAAATTTTGACTTTGTCGCATTCGGAGATAACAAATCTTGAAACATACCTTCGATAAAACTAAAAAAAAATACTGAAACAACAAAAATTTGCACGTTTTTCTTGTCAATCTATTGTCAGACGTTGCTGAAAGCCCCTCCATTAGCGCATCTCTGGTTGCGAAATAATTTTTTCATTTGCTGTCCCTCAGTTCCACATAGATATGTTATATATTACATATATGTTACATGTATATGTCACATATATGTGATATACATGCAACAGGAGTGCCAAATTCCTACATATGCCACATTTATGTCACATATATGTGGCATAGATTCGACATATATGTCAAATATAGAGCACATATATGTGACATACATATGTAACATATATATGTCTCATATATGTAGATTTGGTAAGGGAGGGCTTGCAACTTGGCAGCCTCCAGCAGTGACCTCCTCCACTTTGCTGCATTTTGGCAATCATTACATACAAGCGAGTTACATCATTCGGATTCATATTTTTGACACAAATGGCTCCCCAAACCTAACCTTTTACCTTTTTTTTATTTTCAAGCTTATGAATAACCTATTGAACTCCCTTTTTTCTTTTCTCAGGCACAACAGCAAGTGAGAATTCAAATGTCACTGATAGTAACCTGACTTGTGGTAATTAAGTGTTACAGAAAATTGTGTTTCTTCCATTTTATGGACTTGCCCAGCTGTTAAGCATTTACCCAGAATTAGCTATTTGATTGAGAAATGAAAATAGATCAGACATTTTACTGACTGTCAAAACTTGGCCATAGTTTTTCTTGTTCCTTGTTGTTGCAGTAGTCTACAACCTGCTTATAGTATTAATAATAATAATTGGAATAATAATTGGAAGTTTCAGAGTCGTCAACAGCGAAATCTGAAGGGGATACAATTCAACTCATTTTTGGCAAGTCTTCAATGGAATCTGATGTCAGCTTTCGAGGCTATCGCCTCTCCTTGGTGTTGGGACTCCAGTGAAATAAACTAGCACAAGGTAGTAGGAACCTTAACGTTTAATAGGACGAAGAACTTTCAGTGCAAGCGAATCCTAGCATGAGGTAAGACTAACTTGATTGGCTAACTCGAGTCACATGACAACAAGCGTTTGTGTGACAATAACGTTACACTTGGATGGACAGATTTTTGCACATCAGATGAAAGGTACTTCATGTTTCACCTGGGGCTCAAACTTAGAGCCATGTCTAAACAGACTTTCTGATAAGATGATGTTTGATTGTAACATCACCCATCTCAGAGTTGAGATAGAAAATGCTTCACTCCAGGACAGTGGAAATTACACCTTTACTCGTGTCTTTGACGGTGTGACATGTAATTTCCTGGATACCAAAAAGGTTACTGTTACAGTAAAAAGTTGGTATCAAAATGTAATGCTAAGTATTACTAACAGCTATGATTTGATGAAGGTTTACAAATATAGTACAGGCTGTACAAAGAAAATTTTATTAGTAAGAGTACATTTACATAATTGAACAATGTCTCTTTCCAGAAGTTAAGTGGTGATTGATATAAATTTATGTGCATGAATGGACTCTTAAAATAGGTGAATACAAAAGTTATGTCACTCTAGAACTGTTCTTTCCTTGCTGTTCAAATGAAACTAAAGGTGAAAAATGTCTATTATTATAATGGCAAGGTCGTCCTGAGGTAAATCATATCATTGGGGAATATTGGCCCTCAGCTGTTTTGTGCTGCCAAAAAGACCTTGGGCCAATAGTCCGCCATGTGGCTCTCACAATTGGTTGTAGTTATTGTTGTAATAACTTCTTACTAACTAAGTGTGACCTGGCTGTCTTGTGGAATATTTACCATATATAAGGTCCGTAGTTACATAAACAACCAAGAGCCTATATTCCTTAGCACAGCTTAAGGAAGTGAAGATATTAAGTATAGTAACTTTATGATACAGCACTCAGGCAGAATTTGTTTATTTTGAATTTGCTTCCTTTCTCTACCAAAATTACATAGCTTAATTATGACTGCATGTTTCTGTGGAAATGGTCCATATAACAAAATATAGATAGACCATACAAGTAAGAACCAATCAGAATGCTAGGATTATCAAACCCGAGGACTTACCGTAATCCTGCCATTTGATAAGTAGTTTCTATCATAATTTATTACTTTCAAAAACCATTATAGTAAAAAGCTGATATGTGCAGGGCCAGATGGGTTGACGTGTGCTGGTGTCCTGGCCGCAGATTTAGGCTCCCCTAGTCCAACTCCGCTGGCAGATATGGACCCCCAGGTCCAAATCTGCTGGGGGATATGGACCCCACCTTCCCCCCTCCCCATTCAAATCAGCAAGTGGATTTAGACCCACTCCACAGATTTGAACCACTAACAAAGCTGAATGGAAATATCATCCTTTACATGTCTGATAAAAAGTAGTGAGGGTTAAGGTCTATGGTTTAGGGCTTAGGGCTAGGTGTTAGGGTTAGAGTTTAGGATTAGGGTTATGATGGAGCGGTTAGGGTTAGGGTTTATTGCTAGGGTTAAGTTTGGGGATGTTTAAGGCTAGGGAGGTCTGGAGGAGGTTCAAATGTGCAGTGACACCTGTCCAGTGGAATCCATCCCACCCTGCTGTCCTCCCTTCCGTTTGTTTCAAAAATTTAAAAGAAAACAGAAAGGAGGAAGAAAAACTTGCATTTTTAAGAATTTGGGAGTATCTTCTTCTGACTTGAAAAGATAAAGGAAAATATTTGATTCCAGAATTTTTTTGTACAAATGATTAGGGGCAGAATGTTTGATGAACAAGAAGATAAATGAATAGCGATTCAGTCCTTTTGTGCATATGGCTGATCCCTTTGTTTTTATTCAGCTTCGTTTTTGTTGTCAGTTATATGTGTAATTTAAAGAGGAGAGCTAAAGAGAAAAACCTGTTCCACCCTGATGCTAGCTCTCTAATCAGTAATCTGCCTCTAGAGAAGTTTGTGATTAATTTTTTCTTTCTTTTTCACCTCTGCTTCTTTCCTTGAAAATCTCGATAACAGAGTGCAGTCATAATTGTCACATGGGAACATGGAAAAAGGTTGAGCGTCAGGAAGCAATACTGCTGCCCTAA